ATTACAGAAGGAAGAGATGGTCGATAACGTCTCCTTCTCGGGCGACGGCGCTCCTTCCCAGCACGACACCCCCGTCTTTTCCTCCTCAGCTCGCTGGGAATGTCGGGTCTATCCGTCGGCAGTACCGCTGCGGGACGCAGCGCTAACAGCTGATCCTTACTGTAAACAAAGGATCCCTGCTCTGGGTCCCCAGACACGCGTGAAAAAAGTAGAAATAAACTAAGAAAAACGACCAGAACTAGCACAAAACGGTAGAACATGGTTGCAGAGTCTAATTACTGATACGTTAGTTATAAAAAATTACGAGAAGAAAAGATAAGAAAGAAAGAAACTCAGAATGAGAAGAGCTGCTGTAACAGGCTGCCGCACACGGGGGGCGCCGGAAGAAGAAATTATGCAGAAAAAGTAGAATTGGGCTGAAAGATCTATCGCTTTATCACCTGTTCAGGTTGTAAATCATGTTTTTAAAAAGTAACTAAGTAATTAATTACTTTTGAAAATAAGTAATCAGTAAACTAATGGGATTGCTTTTTTGGGGAAGTAATCAGTAATTAGTTACTGATTACTTTTTTCAAGTAACTTGACCAACATTGGTCTCCGTTTGCTTCTTTAGCTGGTAAATGTTTGCATGCTTGCATTTTAAACTGGCAGGAAGTGAACCAGAAGAATGAAAGTGAGCATTAAATGAGGGTATAAGACTGGGGCTGCCCTTTTACCTCGATCATGGTGGAGTTCCACAGTCGGGCTTTGATGGTCAGAGTCGCCGAGTTGTTCATGCTGATGAGAGGACAGACGAACTTCACACACCTCGCTCCGCGGACACAGTCCTGCAACACGGTTTACTGTGGTTACTTTGAAACACAACTGTGGACGTCCTCATAAAAATGTCCTCATGTTCTTCAGAAGCCCTCAGTTTTCTAAAACATGTCAAAATGTTCCTCAAATTGTCCTCTCTCCTAAATGTCCCCACATTTAAAACTGTCCTGTCCTCCAAGATTGTCAACAAGCTTGTAGAAACAGTGTGTCCCTGTGCTTGTGTCTGTACCAGACTGTAGCGCTTCTTCTTTCTCTGAAGATGGAGGACAGTTGGAGTTCTGTCAGTCTGCTCCTCTTCCTCGTTTACTTCATCCAGATTCCTCTTCATCTTCTTCTTGTCCTCTTTTGACAGCTGAACCAACAGGAAGACAGGCTAACTTTCAGAGACAAGTTTAAAATATTCGGTAAACAGTTCAGTTTTAATTGGCCTTTATTCTAAAGAAGAACGACTTTTATTTTGAAAGGAGTGTATGAGGCTGATGTTGCTGTGGTTACCGTGAGGTTGAGAGGATTAATGATGTTGCCGGGTGGAGAGCAGCGAGGCTCTGAAGTACCGTTTATTTGGATCTCTGTGAGGTACAGCAGCCACTTCCCATTGGTGGCTTCCATCGGCCAATCAAACTCCACCTCCAGGGTGCCCAGGTGGCTCAGCGGCTTTCCCTGGACATGCACCTGATGGAGAATACCGTTCACACCTGACCTGGTGAGGGTCACGCAGAACTGTAAATGTTTTCAGACTAACCTGGAAGGTCAAGACCAGCAGGCTGCCGATGTCCTCTGTCTTCTTCATTGCCACCTCACCGATCACATGACCACTGAAGGAGGCGGGGCCTGACGTTGAAATTCTGTCGAGGTACCAGATGAAAGGTTACCACGCCTTTTCCATTTAAAATACTCAGAAGTGTGGCTCCGTGTTTGAGCGTTTCTGTGGACCACTGTGGCCCTTCTTTTCACCTGTCCAGCACTCCCGAGTGCAGTGTGTTGCACTCTTCATCCTCTTCATACCTGCCTCACTTCCTTGTCCCCCATTAACCATATAAGTACAGGGTGTCTGTAGCTCACAAGATAGGTCACCTACTAACTGGAAGGTTAGTGGTTTGATCCCTGACTGCCTTGGGCAAGATACTAACTCCAACTTAATGACTCGCTGCCCTTCAAGGCCACCTGCGTCGGCTAGAGGACACTCTCTGTTGAACACACACGCAGACACAACTGGACCAGGGCAGAGATGCTGCCGTCTACACCGGGTCACTCTTACCCTATTTACCCACCCCTATTGCTTGTCATGTCTTTTCACGGTGTTACGGTGTGAAGGCATAGGGATAGCTCAGTAGGTAGCGTGGTCGCCCCGTGACCGGAAGGCTGGGAGTTTGAATCTACCGAACAGCTACCCTCAGGTACACCTGAGCAAGGTACCATCCCCATTGTGTAATGTATGTACAAGGAGTCCAATTTCACTGCGGGAAATGCAAGTGACAAACAAAGGCTTCATCATCATCAACTTGCTCTGAAGATGCTCCATCTGAATATGAATATGTGTGAATGTGAGCTAGAGCACACTCAAGTGTTTGCATGAATGATGCAAGTTAAATAAAGCACTTTGAGTATAGAACCAGTCTATTCAGCATTTACATGGATGTAAGGCATGTGTTTATTGATACTGTCTGTTATCTATGTGCTGATGTTCATCATTTTTTTTATTAATTTTGACGCTGTGAGCTGAGGTCAACGTTTCCACTGTGCTTCGGTTTGTTCTGTGTCGGCTCACATTGGGGCAGGGTTACTGTCCTTGTCAGTCTGGATTCATTTCACAACAAAGAGTCGTAACTCAGATTCTTCGTCCTCCCTGGCTGTGAGCTTAAAGCTCAGACGGGCCACCTGATGTGCACCTGATCTGTACTTACAAACTGAGTGATGCCTGCAGCAAATACTCCACCACCATGAAGACGGAGATCGGGGACAGATCCGGCTGTTCACTGAGCCTGAAGACACACAGAAATGCCACTCAGTAACCTCCAACAAACACAGAGAAAGCGGCGTGTGGTGAAGGCCGTACGTGGATAGCTGCAGCACAGACTGGATCTCGCGTGTGTCCAAACTGATCTCAGATGGCTGAAATTTGATCAGAACCTGAACCTGAAACACAGGAAGAGACAATACATCAGAAAGAGCTCAGCAGAGTTACTGTAGTACAGACAGCAGCAATGCTAGTGCCCTGGGTCAGCAGTGATATTCCCTACCTTGTTGTTGCTTCTGAAAGGGTTCCCGAGCTCACACTGAAGAGAGGTCCCCTCCACAGAGCACTCCACCACTGCCGAGGCATCACCCTGAAACACAAAGAAAAAGGGGTGATATGGTACTACAAGGTCATTAAGATAAGATGGGGCCTGATTATTTAAGACCTTGTATGTGAGGAGCAGGATTTTGAATTCTGGATTTAACAGGAAGCCAAAACAGGAGAAATCTGCTCTCTCTTTCTAGTCCCTGTCAGGACTCTTGCTGCAGCATTTTGGATCAGCTGAAGGCTTTTCAGGGAGTTTTTAGGACTTCCTGATAATAATGAATTACAGTCGTCCAGCCTGGAAGTAATAAATGCATGAACTAGTTTTTCAGCGTCACTCTGAGACAGGATATTTCTAACTTTAGAGATGTTGCACAAATGGAAGAAAGCAGTCTTACATATTTGTTTAATATGTGCGTTGAAGGACATGTCCTGGTCAAAAATGACTCCAAGGTTCCTCACAGTGTTACTGGAGGCCAAGGTAATGCCATCCAGGGTAAGAATCTGGTTAGATACCATATTTCTAAGATTTTCAGGGCCGAGTACAATAACCTCAGTTTGATCTGAATTAAGGAAGAATGCCATCCAGAGTAAGAATCTGCTTAGATACCATATTTCTAAGCTTTTCAGGGCCGAGTACAATAACCTCAGTTTGATCTGAATTAAGAAGCAGAAAGTTAGCGGCCATCCAGGTCTTTATGTCTTTAAGACATTCCTGCAGTTTAACTCATTGGTGTGTGTTATCTGGCTTCATGGACAGATAGAGCTGGGTGTCATCAGCATAGCAGTGTAAATGTATGCTATGTCTTCTAATGATGCTGCCTAAGGGAAGCATGTATAATGTAAACAGAATTGGTCCTAGCACTGAACCCTGTGGAACTCCATAATTAACCTCAGTGTGTGAAGAGGACTCTCCATTTACATGCACAAACTGGAGTCTATTAGATAGATATGATACAAACCACTGCAGTGCAGTACCTGTAATACCTACAGCTGCTCTAAGAAAGTCACCGTGGTGTTCCACTTTAGATGGTCTGAGCTCTGCCCTACCTTTGTCTCTACTCCAGAGTAGATAAGTGATGGTGGGATGCTGATGCTCAGAATGGTGTTGTGAGCATCCTCTGCTGGTTGACCTGTTGATGGTGTATTGCTGATGTTAACCTCCAGAAACAGCCTCTTGATGGTGGAGTTGAAGTACATCACCTGAGTACCCTCAAGCCTTAAAACACACAAGAACACAAACATCGGCCGAACCTCAGCAGCTGTCTTAGTTAATAATCACCTGACAGACTCTAACCATGTTGTAACTCACAGACTCTAAGCCAGTCTTCTGTTCTTTTGTCTGTTATTGTTTATTCTTAATGTTTGTACAGTTTCTGTTAAAAGTGAAATATTTGAATTTTGTTTTTCAGTATATCTCAGTACCTAACAGTTAGTTAGGTGGTGGTAAAAGGAAAATTCTGAGCTAGTCGGCATATCTGCCTGAAAGGCACCTTGTAATTAAAACACTGTGAAACACTAACACATGTTACAGTGGCCCTCAACTGCCCAGCAGGACAATGTCAGTCCCCTGACCCATCCAGGAGAGGGGGCACTGGCAGAGATGGTGGTAGTGCCAGACTGAAGTGTTAGAAACCCGTGGCAGCGCTGTGACACTGGACACAATTTCATATCATTCAAATGAAAATAACTCAGCATTAGCGTTAGCTGATATACTGTAGAAGATGGATATTTAAAGCTTCAGTCAGTCATTTTTTAAGTTATTTAATAAAATAAAAGAATACTGCCTGGGTTTGTGTTGGGATGCACCAATGACCGTTACTGACATTACTGACATCGTCAGTGGTGACCCGGGGTGAGTGAGGCTGTTTAATGCTGACTCTGAGGAGGAGGAAACAGCGGGGCTTCCAGTGATTCGCTCCACAGAGATGTATCCACTGGAGCATCGAGTGTAGTCACAAGACAACACTCGATGATAGAAACTGATGTTCACATGGTGCGCCCAGGTATGGGAACTGATAAGAATTTAGCGATTTCGATTTCATTATTGATATCACTTATCAATTCTATTCCTTATGGATTCTCATTGGCTCCACCATCAACGACAACAAATTCATGCAAATTAATAACATGCTGTTTGGTCAAATCAATCACAACAACTTATTGCTGCTAAAGGAGGGTCTGAAGCTGCTGAATCATGGAGTGTACAGCTGTAACAATGATTAGTCTCAGACGTGTAGTTGCTTCATTTTCTTTTTCAAGTGTAGTGGATTTCTGGGTATACAAATATAAATGAGATAATAAATAATGATAAATAATAACAAAGATTTTAACCCCAGTGAAGTACAGAGCTTCTTATCTGCTTCATCATGCCTTTAAATTGGCTTCTTATCACATGACCTCATGCTTCCTGCTGAGTGTTTCTGTCCAACCATCTTTTTTGGACTCTGGGCTGAGCAGTGTGTGTTCTGTTCACTCACTCGGGGAAAGCTTTCTGGCTCTCATCGGTGAACCGAGCTGTCATCTGCAGGTTGCTGTGGCAGCGGTTATCAGAACCACAGTCCTTCTGGATGTGGATCTGAGGGACAAGGACAGCATCGGTCAGACCAGCAGAGTTTGGCTTTTCTATAAAAAGGTTCTGATGGGTTCTGACCTGGGTTCTGATGGGTTGGGGGGTCTCACTCAGCACCGGGAGGCGTTTCAGGTCCTGCACGTTCTTTTTTTTCTTGGGAAACTTCTCGTACAAGGAGGCATTCAAGGAGAACACCAGAGGCTCCACTTTGTCTCTGATTACACTCTTCAGAACATAAGAACACAGAAACTGAACATCAGCTCAGTGCCAACATGACGTGGACTGCAGGAGCTTCTTTGCAGGATCTGTCCAGCCGGACTGATGTGAACTGGCCACTTGGAGCTGAGGAAATCAGGCTGAAAGCAGGTGGTGATCAGCAGGAATGTGAAGTAAACACGAGTCAGTGGACTGAAAGCATGAGAAACAGCAGGCTCGCTGACAGACTGAAACAGAATCACAGAGTGAAAACAGGACGAGAGCCGAGCGAACGCGATCAGAAACACAAACCGAAGACATGAACGAACGTGACTTTTGCTTCGACCTGCAGAGATTTCACCTGCCTACACACCACCTCAGATGCTCGCTGTGGTTTTCCTGTTGAGCTGTGGCTGAGAAGCAGGATGTGGAGTCTGTCAGCAGCCGCATGAATAACATGGCGGCAGAAAGTCATCATGACTTTGATCATCAGAATCAGTTCATTATATCTCACACAGCAGAACTTCCTTCATCTGACTCTAATTAAAGGAAAAAATATAATTTAAGTTTTTTCATGCAGAACTGGAGGACCACGTTTGGTCTTTGCTCTCGTTATGTGGTGTGCTGGTTTGGGACGATTCTCAGAGTGAGCTAGTCTTAAATAAACCGTGACACAGCTCCGACACTCGCCGCTCACATCGACACTAAATGTTTTGTGTCAGTGGACGTGCTTGTCAGATTTCAGCAGCCTGTAGGGGGTGCTATGCCTGTGTTTGTCTCACCTGCAGTCCCACTCTCAGCGTCCTGCACTCCTCCAGCGGCATCGACAGGTAATCAGAGTACACGCTCTGCCCGTTGTCACGAAAATTGAGGCGGGGCTTGACACTAGTGATGTCAGCTGTCAGTGTGAAGAGGATGGCTGTGACACAAAGATAAGGGTTCAAATATAAAACACACAGGCGTAAGATAATCACAGGTTGTGATGTGATTTATTTGTTGTTCCTTAACCCTGACATGTGACAGACACCAATAGAGTCCAGGATGTGGGTGGGCATTAAGGCGTCTGGGAAGGGAACTCAAAACTGGATTATAGATGGCAGACAGTTGGTGTTGTAAGCCCCGCCTCTGTTCAAAGATGGTCGCTCACAGTGGACATAAATGCTTCTTTCACTCCTCTTTCAAACCATCTGTCCTCTCTGTCCAAAATGTGAACATTGGCATCCTCTTTCAATCCAGTTCTGAGTTCCC